CATCCCAACTCTTCACGTTTTGCTAAGTCAACAACACACAAGTCTCTAGGTCTTATTCATGTCACACAGGTCACTATCATCATAAACTCATAACGATTCTCAATCACAACAAGGAACAATCAATGCAGCTAATCATATACAATAATATCATAGCATATCAGATAATCAAAAATAAGAATTTGAATCATAAAGTTGTTCTAAAATAATATTCTAAAATAATAATTTATTTACTTCAAAATAATTCCTTTTTTTCCAAAATAAATTCTTTTCTCATTATAATAATTCTAAAAATAATCTTTTAAATAATAAAATTCATAAATTCAAAAACAAGATAAATTCTCATTAATTCAAAATATTCTATTTTCCAAATAATTTTTTTTAAAAAAATATTTATCATTCTAAAATAATTTCTTCCACAAGATAATTTCTAAAAATTATTATAATTATTCTAAAATAATTCTTTTTCCCTGATAATTCTTTTTAAATTATTATAATTTTCCTAAAATGATTTCATTCTCAAATAAAATCTTTTTAATTAATATAAATGTCCAAAAATAATTCTGCTACTGAAATAAATTTTTTTAATTTATTATAATTATTCTAAAAATACTATTTATCACATAATTACGATTTATCTAATATCATTCATCAAACAATCCCACGCAGATAAATATATCCTATCTAAAATTACAGATAATTCATAAAAATATAAAATTCAGATATGAGCAAGTGGGATCTTGCCTTGGGTATATCGTGGACTACAATGGGGGCCGTCGGGGTGATTTCACAGCGTTACGACGAGTTTCGCAGAATCGACGGCTAAAATTACAATTTGAGTGTTAATGCGACGTGCGATATTCAAACGAGTATAACGAGGTGTAGATAGGGAGCCCAAGTGAAAGAAATATACCATATGATAGACAACACGAAGGGCTACGCACCGGCGAAGGAATCGACGGAAACGGAGGTCGGAGTTGGCCGGAAAACGCGTGCGAAGTTAGCTCCAAACTGCAGTTTTTTTGCAGTGAGCTCACTGATTCGAGCTCGGCGGCGGCGGCGGCTGGGGAGGTTGTTGGCGGGACCGATGGGGGTGGCTGAGCTGGAGGGGGTTGTGAGGAGATGGAGAGGAGGCAAGAGGCGAGTCTGAGCAGCTGTCGACGGCGAGGGGAGAACGGAGGAGCTCAGGGCGCGAGTTTGGGAACTGTGGGCGGAGGGGTGTGGCGCAGCGGTGTGGTGGGCGAGCGGCAGCGGCGGAGCTCGGGGCCTGGGGTTCGTCGCGGAGCTCAGGGAGGCTCTGCAGGCTGTCGAGCGGGGTTTGGGCAGCTGCGGAAGCTGGCTCAGCGGCGGCGAGTGCTGTGGAGCGGAGGTCGACGTCGGAGCTCGCGACAGCGAGCTGGAAGCGGCGCTGGGCGAGGCACTGCGCGGTCTGAGCTCAGGGGCGGCGCCATGGAGCGGCTGGAGCTCATTGTTTGAGGAGTTGAAGGGTAGAGGTGTGCTACTGCGGAGGCCGAAGAAGGAGGACGCGTGGCTGTGGTGGCTGGCGGTTGAATGAGGTGAGAGGGTGGAGGTGGTGATGAGGAGGGGACTGAGTGGCGAAGCTTGGCAAGGAGGGCTGGAGCCGCTTCGAGAGGAGGGGCGGAGAGATGATGGCGGTGGTTGAGGAAGTAGGCTTCTTGGGTTTGCTTGATGAGAGAATGAGAGAGAGTGTCAGAGAGAGAGATAGATTTGAGTGAGAGTGAGAGAGAGAGTGACGGTGAGCTGATTGAGAGAGAGAGGGAGAGAGAGATATTTAATAGAGGGGAGAGAGAGAATGAGAATGAGAAAGAGAGAGAGAGAGGACGTGTGAGTGAGGGTGAGGGAGGAGGGCTTTTGAGGAGTGGGAGAATCACGAGGTTGGGGTGTGCGGGAAACATGGGCGAGGGTTTTAGGGAGGTGGGGTAGGGGAGAGATGAGAGATGAAGAGAGAGAAAAACAGAGTGAAATACCGGTGAGAGGAAAAACATAGGGAAAAATACCCCTTTAAATAATTATACATATCATAAAATTTATCCAAATAAATATTAAAATTTATGGTCAAAATAATAATGACAATAACAATAATGAATAATTAACTATTAATTTAAAAAAATTTACTGAAACAATTCAATTTATAATTAGCAAAACTATTAAAATAATATAATACTGTATTTTTAAATCGTAGAAAATTCTAGAGAAATTAGGAAAATACAAATACTCTTTTAGAAAAATAATATTTAATATTTAAATACCAGAAAATTATTTAAACACGTATTAGAAATTTACGATCATTACATCAATAATCATATACATATTTTATTAAGTCTATATAATCATTGTGCAAAGTTTCAAAACATGGTTTAGCCTAAATGTCAAAATTCACATGTTTACATTTTTATGTTTTGGCCTATTTTGTAAAATGATGATATTTTTTATTTGGGAAGTCCTTTTTAGAAACCAGTCATTGTAGCATGTTTATTATCATGTCTACAATCATTCCCCAAAGTTTTACATTTTTTGGAATTTATTTGATATTTTTAAACAGTGTTTTAAAATCAGAAAAAATAGTTTTCAGACTTCATTTTCTGTAGTATCAGATTTCGGTCGACCGCTCATATGTTTAGTCGACAGTGGACAGCAGAGAGTTTGTCGGTCGACCGAGAGCTCGAAATTTCTATCGGTCGACCGCACCGGTCGACCGACGTTGTTTCTGCTCGATTCTCAGATTGGGTTCTGAATCGCGGTCGACCGCGAATTCTCTCGGTCGACCACCGCTCAGTCTGACTCTCTCCAACGGCTATTTTTGTTACCGTTGGCTGGGCTGTTTCTGTCATTTGGTTTGGGGTTTTTGGCTGAGGTTTTGGAGGCTATAAATACCCTCTTTGATCTCAGTTTCTCAACCAAGAAAAGAAGTTTTTAAACAATGTTTTTAAACAAGGGTTTAAGCTTGTTTAGTTTGGTTTAAGTTTGGTTTGGGTTTGCTGTTACAAAGAGAAGTTTACATCAGCTATTGAAGAGTTCATCTTCAACATTTTTCATCCTCTCTTTGTGTTTTTAGAGAAGTTTCCTTAACTCTATTTCCTAGCATTTCTACTATTGTATGTCATATCAATTTTATTGCTAGTTCTTATTGAGTTAAGTTTTCATTTTTATCTCATTGTTACACACACCCACATGAGCTTATTGTATTTACATACATAGTATATTAGGGTTGTGATAGATTGTAACATTGAGTTGTGCTTTCATTGTGTTCTCATCCATAGTAGAGAACAATTAATTATTGTATTGAGCCTTATTGTGAGATTCACTTTGTAATACACTTGTACACCGAGTGAGGAGTGTGTGGTGAGAGTCGGGGATCGTCCCAAGAGGAGTGGCGTCGGTTGACGTGCCTAGGGAGAGGTTGTAACCGAGCACTTGAGGGAGACACGGCTAGGTATATATCTCATTGTTCATATTGCTTATCCTAGCTTATACAGTTGTTATATTTCATACTTGCTAGGATAATTTGTTAATTAGTTTTTAATTGACATATAATCGGATTAGATTAGCATAAGACCCTAATCACCCCCCTCTCTAGGGTCTAACACTATATTCAAATAAATATTTAGGGCCCTTCCAAGCACACATCACTTGGTGACGCTAATTATTTTATCACTTTCATTGATGATTATTCCAGGAAAAATTGGGTATACCCTATGAAGCAACAAACATGAGGTCCTGGATATTTTTGTGGAGTGGAAGAAGAAAGTAGAGCTGCAGACAGGTAGAAAGGTGAATACTCTTCGTTCGGACAATGGAGGAGAGTATAAGTATGATCCGTTTCTGCAGTTTTGCCGGAATTACGGCATTAGACGACACTTCACAGTTCGTAAGACACTGCAATAGAACGGGGTGGCTGAGAAGTTAAACCGTACATTGTTGGAGAAGGTGCGATGTATGATGACACAGAGTGGATTGTCAAGATCCTTCTTATTTTCTCTTCTTTCTCAAAAACCAGATTGCGCTTATCTATACTATTATATTAAAAACTTAGTTGGGATAACAAAAAGTTTAAAGGATATTTTACATCAATGGAAAAATAATGAGCATATAGGTAATTTTCCCTTCCTTTCTTCTATTTTCTTTTCCTAAAATGTTCTAGAGTACTTATACAAATTAAATATCTATCATAATTTGTGTTGTAAGAGGGATAAATTATAAAATGATAAGGTTCCTTTCTAAAATAAGTTATATGACTAAATAAAAATGCAATAATTAGAATTCCAACGTGTTTTAATCTAAAAGTTATCCAAAGTCAAATTATATTTATATACATGGGTAAATAATTCAATATAATAAATTGAAGATAAAATATGAAACATAGTCTTCTATTAACATTATTTAAAGTGCTCTTATGATGATATTTCAAAAATAATCCATAAAACTACGGTTTGCCCTATTGTCTATCATTAAATCACGTCACCAATCAAATGTTTCAAATAAGGCAACACAAAATAACTCATCTCAAATGAAAAAACACCATAAAAATATCTTATAACTTGATGAAACTTTATTATAAGTACCCATTTATATAATATTTAGAATGATTAATTTTTGGCATCTGTTTCACGTGCATTTGCACATGCGATAATGCTAGTAAATATAAAATTATAGATACTGATATAGTACATGCTAAATATGCATAACAGTTTTTCTTTACACAATTGAGTACCTCAATACCCTATCCTAGGTGTGATTAGTCCAAATTTCCACTCCTAATTATAGCACAACACAAAGAATAAGTTTGAAATAATAATATTTAAACTGGATAGATTTCCAAATAGCATAACCTTCCTAAACTTGAAGTATCAAATAAAAAGAAATTATTTAAGGGGCTAACATGAAAATGCCCGGTCATAGAAAGTCTTGACACGTGTGGAGGACTCACACGGAAAAAGAAAGGAAAACATAACCAGACAATTGACTCAGGGGGTGGACGCTTCCTCCTAATCATGGAGACAACGCTTTTCCTACAGGCCTGTTCGTTGGACCTCAGTGGGGAAAAAAAGGCCAATAAGTGAATTTCCTCTAATTTATTTTCTTTCTCTTAATTTTTAATTTATTTTTACTACCTTTCAGCTAACCTATTTTAATTTCTGAAATCTAAAAACTCTGAAGCATGTTGGTCTTCTCCAGTGCAAAAAAAAGTCCCCTTCATCAATATTCCATTCTGTTTGCTCTCTCTGTCTCCTCCGTTGTCCTTTTTTCCCTCTTTTAAATTCTGAATCCTCGACAAGATGATTCCTTAGTGCTAAATCTGATCTGGGCATTGTGCCAATTGTTGAAAGCTGGCATCTTGGGAGATGGGTACTGTATATTTTCTAGGTTTTTAGCAGATTTAGATGTGGGTTCGCCTTTTCTGGTGGTGAAAATTTGAGGTTATTAGGTAAAAGGAGAGCTTTTTTGTTCTCTATCGAAATTTGTTTATTGAAAGTATTTAAAGGGGATTATTCTGATTGTCAAATAATCTTCCTCCTCGTCTCCAATTGTGGTTTTGTACATAGATTTGGGATATTGCAATTGGATTCTTCTTCATTTGGGGAGAGGAAGGGGATTATTTGTAGCATATTTGTTTCCTTTTTGGATTTGTTTGTGCTTGCTTGAGCATGTTATTGTACCTTTTCTCTTTCAAGTATCCCCATTTTTGGATCCTGTATAGACAATTTTGATTAAGTCGTTAGATTCCTCTTCTCTTGATGTGAAATTAAAAGAGTCGGGAGTTACCTTTGTTGACTGAAAATGAGATTTTTAAGTCTCATGGGCAATTCCTTTGGTTGCTCGGCTTCTGGAGAGAGGCTGGTCTCTGCTGCAAGAGATGGAGACCTCCAAGAAGCGAAAGCTCTATTGGAATACAATCCGAGGCTCGCCAGATATTCGACTTTCGGTGTTCGTAATTCTCCTCTTCACTACTCTGCAGCACAAGGCCATTATGAGGTAAATTGATGCAGTCATCTTATTGATTTTAGTAGGTAACGATCCCGTAGGTGCTTAATTCATTGTTGTCAATGCTTTATTCTTTGATCATTTCTTCAGATTGTCTCTCTTTTGGTCGAGTCAGGCGTTGATATTAACCTGAGGAATTTTCGAGGGCAGGTGATGATCATTCTTTCTACTGTTATTTAGTTTCATCGTTTGTTCTTTTATTAAAACTTGCATGTACTGTCTTATTGCAAAGCTCTTTTCATTGCAAGTGCATGCATTTTCTTTACATTATCATTGTCACTCATTAGCCTTTTCTCTCATCTAAGTGGGGGTTCCTGACAAATTTATAGCCTTTTCTCTCATCTAAGTGGGGGTTCCTGACAAATTTATTGATTTAAGAAGGCACTGTGGAAAGATTTGAGTGACTGCCCGAATACTAGTTAGTCATAAGTCCCTGGCAAAAGAAACTAAAGACAAGAGAGGAACATGTATATCTAGAAGAAATATTGGTGATGAGGATACCATACTGGTAACATTGTCTCGGCTTGTGTAGCAATAGTAATTCCATGAAGGCATGCCTATCTTTGACATTTAACTGGTCTGACGATAGCCATATCTGCCACTTTTGTATAAACTATTCTATTGCATATTGTAGTGCAGATGGCCTTATGTTTATGCTGATCATTTCCATGCCCATGCACCTTGGTTAGCTTGATGTTTGTCTTTCAATGTTCTCTTAGCTGGGAAATAGTTTTGACAATGGGATAAGTGTCAAGATTTGGTACGAGTTAATCATGCTTCTTATTGTCATAGGTTAAGAGTATAGTAATATACTGGACTCAAACACATTCCCATGTAAAAAATTTTGTAACTCAAATGTGCACAAATATTCCTTTTACCTTTTTATTTATTATAGGAACAAAAGAAAATTTGAGAAATTTACTAAGTGGTTTGCCCTTTGCAGACAGCCCTAATGCAAGCTTGCCAATATGGTCACTGGGAGGTTGTTCAGATCCTAATGCTTTTCAAAGCTAATGTATGTTGCTACTTCTTGTCTTCAATTACCTTGTCTGTTGAGTAGCCTAAATAGCATATTTCTCGATTTTTTTTCTCAGACAATTATTTGTGCATTGGATTTTAGATCCACAAAACAGATTATCTCAATGGCGGAACAGCTCTTCACTTTGCAGCCCTAAATGGTCACACTCGCTGTATTCGCCTCCTCCTTGCTGATTATGTCCCTAGCATACCTAACTTTTTGAATACTATGAGGAGAACCCAAGAGGTTTCTTTATCAGATTTTGATGAGGAGTATGTTGATTTCTTCTCATTTACTTTGGTATCTTCTTTCCCTCTATTATTGCGTCAACAAGTTTCTATCATCTCTATGTTACACCAGTAGTCTATCTGAGATGATAAACAAAAGGGCAGATGGAGGCATCACTGCACTTCATATGGCTGCATTGAATGGACATGCAGAGAGCTTGCAGTTACTCCTTGATTTAGGTGCTTGTGTAACTGATGTCACTGTTGAAGATGGGACAACAATTGATCTGATAGGTGATGCACTTCTCCTGCCTTTACTCTCCATTAGTTACCCCTTTTCTTGGATGTTCTTGTCCTATAAAACTGTTCACTGGTGTTTAACGTTTTTTGGGTATGGGGTTCCCATTTTTTCTCCTTTCTTCTATATGGTTCTTTTTGGCCTTTCCTTCATGTATGCACCATGTCCAGGTTTTGGCTTAGACTGAAAGTTTGGGGAACAAATTTTTTGGAAGCATTTTCAGACTATAGATTTTGTAAAGCTTGTAGTGAAACAGAATGAAGACTACTTTGTCTGTGCTGTAATCAGTAAATTTTCTAATCATTTTGGTTGCTTTAGATTTAGATTCATAGCCGATCAACTCATATTTAATGTTCAAAGAAAGGAGGAAACAAGACCATTTTTTATTTAAGCTTTTCTGAAAGCAATCAAAATTGTAACTTGATGCCAGAAGATGTATTTTGGATGGGAATATGAAAGGGAAGCACTTTCAATTACTTAATGTGATTGTTTTAGTTAAAGCCTCTATAGCAGGATTGATTTTCTCTATAAAGGTTTGACTTTCAAAAATGACTTCCTCCCCAAAAGAAGTCAATAAATGAAAGTTGAAAACTAGGGCTAAAATATCTTAAGTAATGAAATAATGTATGGAAAATGATTAGAAAACTATAGGTTACTAATTACTCAAATTCTATCAAATACCGATGTCACATCTCCCTCCTTGCCCTTTCCTACTTCATCATTCATAGAAACAAACAGAAACTTCATACTTCTTCTGACTAGGATGGTGATCCCTGCTTTCAAATCAAAAATGATTTTCATATTTTCATTCCACTCCATTTAGCAAAATCAAGGTTATCGATAGCGGATAGCGTCGCGTAGCGGTGAGGCATCGCTAAGGCTATTTCGGGCTATTGCGATAAAATAGCGGTAAAAAGTGCAAAGTCAAATAGCAGTCTAATTTAGATATGTATAAATGGTAAAAAAAAATTAAAGAAAAATCTAAGAAAAATCTAAGAAATCTAAAAGTACATATTGGATGATTTAAAGAGATCCTAAACATGAAATAGACATGTAACCATCACGTAATACCGAAGATGACTGGAGGAGTTAAAAAGTCATCGTTTTCGAGAAGAAGAGCTTAGTGGTGACAGGACTGCCCTAATAGGAGCTCACGGTGAAGGAGGTGAAAGAAAGTATCAATGTAGGTGCCAGAGGCTATGAGAGGTGGTGGGAGTATGATGAAAATCACAAGAGACGGTGGAATGCAATGGTCAAGGGTTGAGCTTAATTTTAAAAAAATAAGCCTCAAACCGTTTTTAAATATCAGTCAAAAAGCAAATTTCGAATGCAATCGCTCACTATTTACTGTTATGACACCATTGGTCGCTTTTGCGATCAGACATATTCCGCAATATGTCACCGTTATTGCGTGATAGCGTAGAGGGCGATAGCGTCGTGGGAAGGGACCGCTAACGCTATTAGCACCGTTATTGCGGGGCTATTTACAACTATTTATAACAGTGAGCAAAACAAACCCTAAATTCAACATTTTGCTTCCGGGATCCATTGATTGTTTGTAATTAAAACCATTAAGTTCTGCTTATTAGATGTGAGGTAAATGCAATTGTTTGATTTTATTATACTTAATGATATCTGATAACCATATAATTACAATTATTGATTGACGTTTATTGTATTAAGTGAAGTCCACTTGCAGATCATATGATTTCCAATTGAGTGGTTTTTTTATCTTTTAGACGACTTAAAATGGCAGTAATTGAGATTCCGGAAACATATTACAAAAAATTAACAGTAACTAGCATGAATCTCAATTGCAATTCAATGATTTCATGTCATCTAGAAATACCTAAATTTTTAATCACAAGCAACCAAATAAACACTGAACCAGAAACTAGCGTAGGAGGCTCGTTGAATGAAGGTAGTTGATGCTCTGGTGAGTTACATCCTGATATATCTTAAAGAGGAGTATTCTGCCATTGTTATTGCCTTATCAAAGGAGTAGAACATATGGTCCCTCTTGTTGTCATTTTCCATTTAGCTATCCGGATAACTCTTCATCACAACGGGTTGAGTTCGAACACTTCATGCTGACAACTTATACTCACACTATAAGTCTTAACATATCTAGGTTTAGGTTCCTGTCTTGGCTTATAACTTCTTGGCAAGCTATTATTTGACTTCTATTTTTGGCCCTGAGCATAAGAAACTAGAGTTAGTGGTAGGCTTACCGTGCATGCGTTTTTTTTCAGTCTCTGTTTTTATCACTCCAACTTTTTATGCTTTGTTGTAGCTCGAGCATTGTCAAGTGGCCAACTAATTAATTATTCTCTTTTGTTAATTGTATAATAACTCATTGGTAGTGTTAATATATTGTGAATGTTTATCGTTTCTTACAGGTGCAGGAAGCACAGCCCTTCACTATGCTGCATGTGGTGGAAATGCTGTTTGCTGCCAAGTATGCTCATATGGTTTGTAGTTTGTTTCCATATTGTTGTTGCGATACTTATTCATTAAGTGCACATGCAGGTTCTTATTTCTAGAGGAGCTAGCTTAATTGCTCAAAATGCTAACGGGTAAGTTTTTGAATGTTGATTGATACATCCTCATATTTTATCTCAATCTATATTTAATTTGCACTTGGTCTGTGACAGTGAAATGGCCTAACGATATACTACTTGGTGTAATATAATTTATCTAGCCAAAGTAACATCACTTGATGTAAATCTTTCTAGACATGTTCCAATAGGAATTAGGAACGAAGACCTGTGGGTTCTAGATTATACTAGAAGATGGGTGATATGGCTTGTTACTGATTTGGATGAGCAATATGGATTATTTGTGCCATGACATCTGGTGATGTAGGATAATCATTTTCACATGAAACTCATTGTTTTAAGTAAATAAAAAAGAATAAAATTCAATCTCCAGTACATGACATTGTTAAGGTTGACTAACAAGTGTTGGAAGTTGTAGTTAGCATTATGCGTAGTACGCAATAAGATAATTTGTAAGATAATTTCCATGTGTAACGGCCCTTATAAATTAAATGCAAGATGCTAATATTATGTATAGCGCTCAATACATGTAATTGTTATATACAAACATCACCAAAAAGTTATTTCATAAGTGTGAAAGGTGAATGCTGGATAAAATGCCCCTTGTAGGTCACACAGTGTTATACGTAGCATGTTAAGCTGCACATGTAGATCTTTTAGTAAGGAACTAAAGGAGTGAATGAGAAGAAAAAGAAAGATGCTGATGAGGACATCACAGGCAGATTCAGACGTACCTACCGGCATAGGAAACGCCCTCTGTTGGACAACATGTCTATTTGGTTTTAAACTAATTGATGACAGATTCGGCAGCTAGAGTTGATTGAGCAGACATCCTATTTTGTTTAGATTTGAAATTTGAATTATGGTTCAGATTTAGTAGTTAATTCAGTTTTAGCAGTTCAGATTTGAAATTTGAATTATGGTTCAAATTTAGTAGTTGATTCAGTTTTAGCATCTGAGTGATTTTAGGGATCTCCAAATTTGTATTGTTCTATTTAAGCACCGCTGTAATAAAAAAAATTGATGCAGATTTGAATAAAACTTTTGTTACCTGAATTGATGAGAGCGTGTGAAACCTCGCAGCCTAGTGGTGTGAAACCCTAGCCCGCCACCTCCCCTTCCCTCCTCCACCTCCGAACCGAAGACCACTGCCACGCCCTCCCCAAATCTCCTCGAGCAGATCTTCGTCGCCCACCAGATAGTTGACAACCGCCAGAGTTCACTGGAGCTCCAAAGACATCAGACCCTTATTATCACTGAAGCCGACCCTGCCTCCGACTTACATCTCCTTTGAGTCAGATCCCCTCCATTGATCTCTGCCTTCGTCTTCGATCTACTGTCGCCATCATCTTTCATCACTGATAGATCGGACCGCCACCGCCATTCTTCATCCTCGAACAGTCACTTCACCCTCTCTTTTCCTCAAATCGAAGACAACGCTGAGGAGGCAATTCGGATCTACCTGTTTTGATCAGACCCGAACCTGGTTCAGCGATCTGATTTTCAGCTCATATCCAACCCGCAATGGTAACAGATCCGTTAATGCTTCACACTTGATTCAAAGGTTGTTCCAATTCGAGTCTGATTCTAATCCGATTCGAACCCTGACTTCGCGGCCCACTAGTGCATGGCCGATCCGGCAGCCGAAGACGCCAAATTCGTGTACGACCCAGAGACCGGCGTGGTAGATCTGCAACTCTCTCAGTGATTAGACTACCAGCCCTTCGATACCCAGCAAAGTACATTGATCGCGTGACTCCTCAGATCGCTGATAGCGTGGAGAACCGTCTAGGGATCAGTTCGTGGCACCGACGCTTCAACCCAGACGCATCACTTCACCCCAACTACATAGCTCTCGGACGGCGTCGTCGCACCACCTCCAGAGGTCCCCCACGTCGAGTCTGTTCAGCCCGACGAAGGTATCACTTTCTCTCGACCGGTACTTTAGGAACTGCCATCGTATGTATGTTTTTATTAATTATAATATCAATTGCTGTTGTGCTGTGTTCTGCTTGATTAGTGAGAGAGTGACTCTGTTTGCCTCGTATATCTGCTGAGTTAAATATTACAAGTCGAACTTTTATTACAAGAACAAATTATTACATTTCTTTTCTAAATAATTTACAAGGCCGTAAACTTAGTACATTGCAATTTTGTTTAAAACCATCTAAGAGCTCCACTTTCTTCTTGAGGTTCCTGCCTAGGCCGATCGCTGATTTGGTGAAGCATTGTTGTCGTTGTTCTTCATACCTGCATGCACATTGTTTCACATCAGATGGCCTCTGTAAGGGGCCGAGTAGTTTGAGATAGAAGTTTCAGCATCACCTGTTAACTTAAAATATATGTCTATGTACTTGATATGGGATCCTGACAGTGATAAATGCATGATTGGTAACATCAATGAACACGTGTTCTTTGATTTTTTTTTTTAATATCTGCTGATTCTTTTGTAATATTGTGTTTTATCTCCTTCAACTTTGTCTGCCATATTTAAGTAGTTTGCTTAATTTCTTGTCTATGGCTCAGATGGACTCCTTTGATGGTCGCTCGTTCATGGCATAGAAATTGGCTTGAGGGTATCCTAAGCAGACGACCAGAAGGTCGAATAAAGATTCTTCCTTCACCATTTATCTCCCTCCCCATGATGAGCATCATGCGAATTTCTAGGTTAGTGATATTTACACTGTTGCTGTTTTGGATACTCTTTATCTTTTATCTAGTTGAAATTAAGTCACTAATATTTGATTACTCTTTTGCTTAAAGTTATTCGATTTATAAAGGTAAAACCTCCATTGTTTGTCTTTAATTTCTTATTATTGTCTGTGATCTTTACTCTTTATACACTTAATATTATGTTGCTATCTGCTCTTTATCCTTTTGAGGAATAATGGCACGCAACCTGAAACAGAAATGCTGGGTTGCACTACATACGCTACTAGTCCACATAGCTTAGATTTATGGGCAACAAACTTAGTAAATTAGTGTAGTAGGTTGACATTGACAAAGTTAAAATTAAAAAAAACAAAGTAGAGGGAGAACAAATTAGCTTCAACATGGAAATCAGAGAAACAATTAAAGCAAAGGAGATCTGATCTATTCACACAGATTAATCATCTAGAGACATGATTATATAGGCAGATCAACAAGTTTGGCGTTGGGGATGAGATCGTTTGAAGATTAATGGAGATCGTCAGAGACCAAAGGAGACATTGAAGGTTGTCAAAGACAAAAGAGATGTGGAAGGTCATCTTGAGATATCAAAGACAATAGAGTCGAAAAAGACAATGCTGTGAGTTTCGGGAGTTAAAGATGAAGGGGATGTTTAAAAGACAAGATAAACCAGCACAGGTACAGGTGCGGCACAGAACACAGCTACAGATATATGTACATATGATAATGATATTTGTATTAGATCAATATTATTATTTCAGTTCACGTTCTATAAAATAAAATTTCTATAACAATTATATGTTTCTTTTAAAATGTAGATCTATAAATTAGAAAATTAATCTTTTTTTAACTTGATATCCAAAAGACCCTTTATATTCATAGTTTTGAACTGGATACAAGCTGAAACAAACCCAAATCCTGCCCAATGAGTTTCAAGAATTGCATTTGAAGTTTAGGATATATGTCAAAGAAGTATATGTTGATTATTTTAAATTAAAACATGTATATATATAATTGAGTACACATTTGAATAAGTGTCTGCAAATATCTAAGGGCTGTCCACTGAAGTTTCAGTGTCGGGCACGGGTACAACACAGGTACGGCTCCAAATAGAATTACCCATGCAACATAGGTAAAAGACTTCTAGAATGTTGATGTCTATTTTTTGTGTTATGCACTCATTTACTTTCTATGTATTTTCTTTTCTTTTTTATTTTTCATTTTAATTTTGTACATAAAACCAGTTAAATTGATTCAGGAAACCAAGACTAGATGGACCAGTTGGGGGAGAATTGCAGGATAGCATGTTGTTCCCCTTAAGTGGGAACTGTACAAGTGATTACAAAATTTACAGTTTTGCTTAACCTAACCTTTTTTTCAATCTCTTTAGCACCGCAGATACATGTGTGTAATCTGAAGTCTTTAGTGACTATAAGCAATAGCAACATAGTGTACACACTAGGCTTTTAGATCTCTTCCCTTGTATAAAGAGTGGTGTGAGGATCTGCATGGGGTTTTCATCTCTTTGGTGATCTATTGCGAGCCTTATATATTCATGGGAACATTAAACTCAGGCTTCATTTTGACCCTTATTTTTTTCATTTGATGACTCATGACGTCTGTCTTCATGGATGCTAGAATCTTTGTGGTGGAAGCGTAAACTGTTAGGACATGGAGGGGGTTGAAGTCAGTCTGATAACTGAACCCTACACCAAGCAAAACAAAGTACAGGGTTTCCAGACGAAGAGGCTTTGCAGAGGATGACATGAACCAAGTTTCACAAAAATGCCTCCCTTACTTTTTTTTTTCCTTTCAGTTTCTAATTTTCCATTTTCTTTTTCATTGTAAAGGAGGCATGGATTTATTTTTCCTTTGACGTATGCACGTTATTGACCTCACAGTACTATTTTATGAGTAACATGTTGGTCAGTTCAATGATCTGATAAATGAGAGCTTCTGGTTCTAATGAAATTTAATCGCTTCAAGATTGTTTGATTGCATTTTGTAAAAATAGATTAGCAGGATCAATATATGCTTTTTGAGAACACGTCATAAGAAACAAAATGGGGAGGAATTTCTCAGACACCATTCAAAGCTAGTAAAGTTGAATGGGGAAATTAATGTGAATACGATGTAACTGGTTGAGAATGGGATCAGACTAAGTCCATTCTTGAAGCGCCCTTCTCGTCCCAGACAAAAGAAAACTGGGCTCTATTTTTTTATTCTTCTTCAGGATTTCTAGAATCTCATCAAGCTCTTGTTTTCTATTTTACATTTATATGCGCTTCTCATTAGTGTTACTTTCCACAAATTCTGACCTTTCTTCAGACGGTGCAAATTCTAATTCACTAAGAGATCATCTCTGAGTTTTTTTTCCCTCGACTTTCAGGGAGTATGGGTGGAGACATACTATTCAGTCTCCGGCATGCATCGATCCTTGTGCTGTTTGCTTAGAAAGAAGATGTACTGTGTCTGCAGAAGGTAGAAATCTCTGTGCTAGCCATTTTACATCATTTAGTATATCTGTTCAATTATCATCAGCGCACCAGTAGTAAGTATTTTCCTCAAATACGGTAAAATTTTAGGGCGACTTGCTGCGGGATTTGGTTCATGTTTCAGTAAATTTTTGGCCCTATTAGTCATAGTATCTAAACTTCAACTAAGGCTAGAGAGCAATTTGGAGAATCTGAGCCTCCAGTCCACCTTACTGATTTTGACTTAAAGCATTTAAGTGCTTGAAACTTAAGACCAAATGTTGAAGGAATGTACGCGGTGGTGACTACATGATGGAGAGTTAAAGTTGATGATTTACTGTTATATCCATAAAAAAATCCGTAAAAAATGTTATGTTATCATGTTTTGCAGGAAAACATACATTAATCGTACCTTTCGATTATGTAGAGTCAAACATTCAGTGTTCGAGTTTCTTTTGAAGCTACATTGAATATCTTAGGCCACAACTAAGAAGCTAGTTTCTAGTTTGAATTTGCATATCATAAAATTTGTGTAACCTCAGTTAAGGCGTGACAACTAGATTTTACTTTTTCACAATTCATAAATGTGCAAGTTTTTTCAGTTTGAATTTGTGTATCATGCAATTTATATAGCATGGGTTGAGCCTCAAAAGTCCTGAGTATCTCCTGTCATAATTCATAAACATGCAAATAATTCATATTTTTCTACAGTGATAGAAAAATTCCAGACATGTTTCCTTGTAGCATGAGATATTTTATCGCTAATTTTTCTCTATATGTATGCTAACCATGCATCTACACTGAATATTGATGGGATAAATATTGCATCATCATTAAAGTTTTTCTCTGTACCCTTCCTCTAGATTCACTCTTATCTTATTAGCTCATCATCTCTTTAATTTACGTTGACGTATGCCTTATAGTAATGACTTTGTTGATTAGGAAAAGTGATAAAACTATGACTACAGAAGCAAAGAGGACGAGATTGGCCTAAGAGTACTTGGTTGAAAGCAATTAAGAAGAACGTAACAGTATATAACTTAATGGACAAAATCATCCTTAAAAGAAGTGAATGGAAGAGTAATGGCCTGTTTGGCAACTCTAGTCAAACCGGTTTGTGGAATAAAACCAATTTAAGCCTTGACTTTAGTTTGGGAAATAACTGAACCAAGACTTAACTGGTTTTGTTATTATTGCTAAACTGGTTTAGAATTTGTCCACCTCTCTTGACCCACAACTAAACCAGTTACTAGACTGGTTTATCAAAATTTTGCCAAACTGACCATAAGATTCATGTAGCACATCCAAAATTTTGGGATAAAGACTTTGTTGGTATTTTTGCAGGATGTGGTCACGAGTTCTGCACTCGATGTGCACTGTACCTCTGTTCCACAAACACCGCCATAGCTTCATCGGGACCACCAGGCTCCATCCCGTGCCCTCTATGCCGAAATCCTATCGTCTCCTTCATCAAAATACCAGGTCGAAGCCCAGCCAGAGAACAACCAAGAATGAGTCTCTCGCTCTCTCTTTGTACCACGTGCCCTACTGTTGGCTCGGAGCCAACAGATACCCCAATGTGTACCCAGTTGTGCAAACCCGACATCAGTTGTACCCGAATCCGACCTGTAAGCTCCTCTTCATCCTTTCGGTCTCTCAGTTGTCAGAGATTTCCCTCGATGAGATTGAACTCGACTCTGTGTATGGGAGCAAGCGATACAAATTCGTGCCTTGTTAGGTGCCCGAGATCAGGGTTACGGAGATCATCATCTCAAGGGGAGAGTGGTGGTGGTAGTAGTAGAAGGTCATGGTTGTTTTCTTTAAATCAGCTTTATGTAACTACTGGAGGCAGCAGTTGATTCTGTGTTTTACTGTATTTCTAGTGTGGGTTTTGTAATTATAGGACCATCCATGAGTGATTTTGTGTGTTATGTGTGTTTATATGGAGCTAATTGTTGTCTTAACGAAGCAAGGGTGGAGGAGGGAAATGGATGTTTTTTGCACTTGTTTCAATTTCCCATATCGTGTGCAATTTGATTGAAAGGTATTTGTTGACTTATTTAGATGCTATCAACAAGTGACTAATTGCTTCTGTTTGATCTTCGTTCCATTGTGATTATGATGTGCTCATCCTCCTCCGGTATGTTTCATAATTTGCCTGAATTCTTTGAAGTGTTATCACTAGTTATATGAAGGTGAGACAAGTTTAATAGTGAATAATGTAGATTTTGAAATAAAAGAAAATTCAAGAAATTATTATGAGCTTTCAGTGTTTAATAGTAAAATAGTAATCCCTCGCGGTAAAAAGGTCTTCATTTAAATGTATCAGAATTAGTATACAAGGCTAATACTTCCATTTAATATTTATCTTGATTTACACCCGTGGATTTAGTACACACATCACTCTACAACATTCCCATAAATTTGCATCAGAGGATATATGTTGTTAGTTATTCCAAAACCATCTATCCATCTAATCAACAACTAGTCTGAAGTGAGTTTTATTCCTTCCCATCTTTTCAAAATCCACTGTAAACTATCGTACATTGTAGCCTACGAGCTGATGTACAATGAGCCTACTAGCTTGACCAGTCATTTACTGCAACAGTGAAATACTACAGTGAAAAAAAAATCTACATATCCACAGTTTGAGACATTCAGATGCGCAGCGCCTCAGTACGTGGGAACAGTGAAGAGCGGCGGAGAAAGGCTTTTTCTCTTAGCTCAGGTATCCTTTACAGTCAGATTGCTAAAACTTCGTAACTCACTTCTGTGAGTTTACTGTGAAATTCTAGTAAAAGTGAATAAAATTGGAGCAAGTTATGCAATCTAGTTTGGACTATTTATCAATGGATATACATCAAACACGTTTGAAATTTAAGGCGTACTTGTCTGAAAACGGAACTCCAAGGGTGTAAACAAAGACACGAGAAGATAATTAAACCTTGTATGCATATTACATCAGAGATCTTTCAAGCTTATGTATGATGGAAGTTTGTACTGCTAAGTGTAAGAAGATGAAATTCCCCATGATCTCCATACTCCACACAAACGCACAAAGAAAGTTAATTACAAGGTTACGATAAAAAAAAGTATATTCTGTTTCTTTATTATATGAGAGAGAGAGAGAGAGAGCAATCACAAAATTCACTAGCAACTACCGGTCATAGAAACCAACATTTCATCACAAAATTCACTGGCAACTACAATAACCTGCAGCCATACAAAGCAACTACATAAAGAGCAAATTTCAGTAAATTCACAATGATCCTTCTCTAGATACAAGTAAACTACATTTGTTGAAACAAGTAGTAGAAAAGACAAAAATTGACTAAAGAACTTAATAACTTTCCCGGCTAATTTGAAACTATCACCTTTAAGGTGAAATAAATCGAATAAATTTTAAATGTTAACAGTACATCTTCACTAGAGTTAAAATCTAAACTCTAAGCAAAGTTTTATTGCAAAACTTAAACTATTACAAAATACATGACAAAAACAAAATTCTTTCTACATAGAACCAAGCTCAAGAGGGATAGACAAGAAGGAAGAAGATGGAAGGACTCACAATGATGCAGATATCCATAATCTGCGATAACGGAGTGAAGCTTCCATCTCTTCTTGTACCGTAGAGACAGAAAGGGATCAAGAAGAGACAAAGAAGGGTTCCAAGCAGCAGGCTGCAAGGGAAAAGCCATGCAGGAGATGGCAGAGGGCATGTTTGAAACATGGGCTCAGCAAATTTTCAAAGACAAAAGCCAAAAGAACTGGACAAGAGTCTGGAAGGGCAAGCCAGGAATACTCCAAAGCTAGTCATAGAGAGGCCCTTATATAGAAAAAGAGAAAACAATTAACTTAGAAATTATTATGGTAAGCTCTAGAAAATTGTGAATTAGGGAAATTTAGGGCTCCCTTGGATTTGCACACAGTGGAGGGAAGCCAATAAAACATAGGATAATTAAATTAAGTTAAAGGAATGTAAGGAAATATGTAAAATTTATTTAGGAAATTAGTAAGGCGAATTAACGAGAACTTATTTTATCTTATTTGGAAAGTCTAATAAAGTGAAGTAAATGCAAGAGAATATATATAAATTTACATAATACCATATATGTTATTTCATCTTTTTAAATCTCATCTTGATATAGGGACAAAATTGTTCTTGTGTAATGTTCTCTTTTTTTAAGAGTTGCATTCCCCCTACTTTTCCCTCTATTATACCCCAATTTGGGGTGGAACAAAATCTAAAGTTTTTAACCCTCCATTACATTTACTTCCCTTCATTAATTACCTCAAATGACTTCCAAAATAATGGTAATGTATCATTTATCTTCCTTTTACTCACATTACCCCTAATCCGAAGAAGCCCTTAGTTTTGTACTCTTGAGAATTTCACAAATGTTTTACACCCACTTTCTTTTATCCTATTTTTCATGTACCTGGGAGTGAATTGTTCAGTAATATTTTAATATTTTCATAAAAAGGTCATAGACTGACAGTTTCATAGCTAAAGTAGAAGCTTTAGGAGAAAAGTCCAAACTCACACAGAACTGTTAAGTGTTTCGAAAAAAAAAACTTGTAATATATTTTTATTGGAGCAAAAAAAAAAAATCGCAAACTTTATGTAGCAAAAAAGAAAATATACACTATCAATAAATTGTAGTTAAAGTAATTTAAAATTCTAATTAAAATGATTATCTAGAAATTAATTGTAAAATTATAAAAGTTGTGATATTTAATTTATAAATAACCCATGTAATATGTGAATTTATAAATAACTCATGTAATATGTGAAATTGTAAAAAGTTTGTGATATTTAATTTATAAATAGCTCATGTAATGTGTTTTTTTGGCTAATTTAAAAGATTGTGATACTTTTTGTAATAGCTATAGCATATGATATTTTTCTGAAAATCATTGCGAGAAACTATAAAATGGGTAACAAACGTCGAACAATCTCACATCCTGCCATCCATCCATCTAATGGACGCCGTACACGGCTAATTTTCTATCATTGATTCCGAAGGTCTAGAGGAAGTAAAAAAGTTAGGAGGGGTAAAAAAAAGTATGCAAATGTCAAGGGTCTGAACTCAAATTTCTTCAGAAATTAATGTTATGTTATGGTCTACAAAGGAAGTGTGTGGCTACTGCTGGCATTCCCAAATGTATGTTTCTCTTGCTGCAACCAATAAAAAAACGCACATGCAATGAAAACAAAAACTTATAAAAAGAGTTGCAGTCATGTGCAGTTGAGAGGCTCTGTAACTTCCCCATCACCAAATATATTAGCTCCCAATTCACGCAAAACATTAAACAGGTGAAGTATTATTATCAAGGATAGCTGAGGGACTCTCTTTATGTTGACTTATACGACTTTGGAAACAGGGGTAACTGTGGTTCATAAAGTGGTTATGATGATGGCCTCAGAGTTTATTTCTATGTTTTTGCCCCCCTTTCCTCTCAGTTATGGACCTTGCATTTATTACTCTTTCACAAACTTTGTTGACAATTGGTGAGGGCTTTCAAAAATGACTTCTTCTCCAATAGATGTGTAATTAATATGAGAGCTAAACTTGGCAGAGAGTGGTTCAAGCGTGCTCTCATTGAGATGGATATGATAGTTGTGTAACAAGTATTTACAGTGGTCTGAAGATTGCATTTTAATTACTTGATTATTAATATTAATGACTGAATCAAAAGGGGATGTTTGAATGAATGGGCTGTTGCAGCCTTGGAGAAGGATATCTCTAGAGTTCAAGGTAAGTAGGTAACTATGAGAAAAGAAAACGTACATGATTTAATGGATATTAATTCAGGAGAAAGATTTGGCTGGACTTTCATTTCTTTTCATTTTTTAAAAAACATTTTTCAAGTATATATTGCTGACGATTCATGGCATTTGCTGTTGGAAATTGTGGTTAAATCTAGAATGAAACAGAGAAATTTTGATGTGCTGTAATTTTAAACTTTTTCAGTTCACTGCTGTACGTTTGTGAAACGCTGTGTTTAAACCAATATTCGACCTACTCCGGTGCAAGGATCCCAAGGCTAAACCGCTTTTAAGAACAGCAGTACAGTACTCTGTTGTGCACTAACCCAGTACTGTCAAGATCTCTAGCCAAACCACAAGAGCTGCCCAAGGGGCGCTATTTATAGGCCTCTAAGACCAATTCAAGAGTCACCCTCAATTAATATGACTGTTACAATTCAAAATAGCAATTATGATTATAATATCAATGCATTAATTTGCTCTAAATACCGTTGTAACTGCTGCATATAGTAACTCCTGAATACGAGACAATTAATGGACGTCTTACTACGAAACACGAAGGTCACATCTCAGTAAATCAGACGAACATCGCCTGTAGGTAGAACCTCGTCGAACGGGCGAACCTCATCGAACTGGCGAACCTCGTCGAACGAGCGTACCTCGTCGAACAGGCGAACCTCGTTTGACGAGCGAATCTCGTCGAACGGGCGAACCTCATTTGACGAGTGAACCTCGTCGAACGGGCGAACCTCATCTGACGAGCGAACCTCGGCAAACAAGCGAACCTCGTCAAACAGGTGAACCTCATTTGACGAGCGAACCTCGTCGAACGGGTGAACCTCATTTGATTTCGAGAACATTAGGGTCATACCCTTATGCGAATGCGTAGCTCGTCCACATGCTACGAAGCAGCTTGCAAAGTAACCTTTGTGGCGACCATAGTGGAAGCCAACATGGCGTCACCTAGCCCCGATGCCTCCATACAAAGTGCAAAGTGCGCCTAACAAAGCGTCACTTAGCGCTTCAGCCCGATTAGCCTCGATCCCCGACCCATTGACCCACGGCCCACGACCCACGACCCACTAGAACTTATGAGGGATTAATTAAAATAAAATACTTCTCGGTTTTTCGTTGGCAAGCCTCGAACAGAAGAAGACCTTTTAAAATATCAAAACATTAACTTTCCACTAGGTTACTAAGCATTTATGAAAAGTACTTGTAGTTTATATATATATATATATATATATATATATATATAGTTTGAAAACTCATTTTGGAAAGCGGTTTTGACCAAAAAATCCAACAACCCCCCATAAGTTTTTAAACTAGTATCGTGTAATGATGTCGTTGTTTCAATCGTTGTGCATAAAGTAGATGTCGTAAGGACTTGAATCCCCCTTAGACCAACTAAATAGAAGTTAGATGCATGGTGTCGTAGAGACTTGAACCATCACATGTCTAAAATTCAGCGATCACACAAGATCAAACTCATCTGTGGTAGTTTTTACTTTGAGCCACATTTGCCTTTGCTATGCACATTTATGGCCCTGTACATATCCTGGTTTTTGCTAGGGCTCTAGGTATCTTTTCATAAGACACCATACAAGACGGCCAAATCTCCACACATGTATATGTGAGTTCTTTAGGCATGTTTCCTATCAAACATCCCGCATCCGAAATACTTTGAACTCATTAAGATTTAAGATCCATCCTCTCTCATGATAGGATTCTAGGTGAGACATTTAGGCATGTTTCCTATCTAACACCCCGCATCTGAAATGCTTTGGACTCATTAAGGCTTAGCAGCCAATCCCTTTACATGATAGGATCATCTGTGAATCCTTTGGGCATGTTACCTATCCAACATCCTGTATCCTAAATGCTTTGGACTGATTAAGGCTTAACAGCCATCCTCTTTACTGTTGAATATCATATCTCCATGATAGTATTTTGATGATAACAATTTATATTCTGTGTGTACTAACTTTCATATGCAGATTTTAATATCAGAATCTGTACAAGTGCAAGTGGATATCAAGGCATTTTGAAGTGAAGAAAATGAAGAACAAAAGATAATGTATTTGATTTTTTTTTCTTTACTTAGAATATTTGTACAAGCCTTGATCACACACACGCACACACACACAATTTTAGAACACACTAACACAGGCTTAGTGTGTTGGTTAACTATAGAAATCCCCTATGTTAACCATTAGAATAGTAGTTAAAACTTAATTATAAAAACTCCTTTTTACTAAATTTTTGACCTTAGTAGTCGACTAATTAGAATAGTAGTCGACTACTCATGTATAGAACTCAAATACATGTTTCTGTCAATTTACAGTATAGTCGACTAATAGAGATTATAGTCGACTACTGAGGTGTTTGACATAAACATAAATTTTTGTATTTTTATAGTATAGTCGACTAATGAACATTATAGTCGACTACTGAACTCAAATTCCAATTTATAAGTTTCTGTCTTTTTACAGTGTAGTCGACTAATGACTACAGTAGTCGACTACTGAAGGAAAATATCAGTTTTCAAGTTTCTGTCAAATTTCAGTGTAGTCGACCAATGAGCATTATAGTCGACTACTGAGAACACTTTCCGAAAACACAGAGTATGTTTGAACTCAGTATAGTCGACTAATGACTACAGTAGTCGACTACAAGAGACAGTTTTTCAGTTTTCAGAATTTGAATATCTGATAGTTTTTGGCCGTTTTTAAACGTTTTTAAACTTTAAAAACTTGTCTTTTCAAGGGCTATATATAGGTTATTTGTTCAGAAAAATTGTACAGGCATACATACCCATAAGCTTTGATCTTTGTGCAATTTTTCA